AGCAGGGCTCCATCACGCCTAACGGTTACTTGGGAAGACAAATGCCATCACTCCAAATGTCCCCCCCCTTCCTCCTTCTTCCCCCAGCTTTATATGCTGAGCACAGCATCATATGGTATGGAATATCCCTTCAGCCAGTTTGGGTCAGCTGTCCTGGCTGTGCCCCCTCCCAGCTTCTTGTGCACCTCCAGCCTTCTCAGTCGGTAGAGCATGAGAAGCTGAAAAGTCCTTGGCTAGTGTAAGCACTACGTAGCAACAACTAAAACATCGGTGTGTTATCAACATTATTCTCATACTAAATCCAAACCACAGCACTGTACCAGCTACTAGGAAGGAAATTAACTCTATCCCAGCTGAAACCAGGAGAGTTGAAAAGTGCAGGTCCTCTTTGAGTTAGCCACTGTTTCTTTCAGTATTTACTAGATACAGTACAGTATACAAGGAATATAAAATTCCCATCTGGTATTTAAAATCCCAGAAGCTTGACTGGCTCTTTAAATATTATCATATGTTAAAATACAAAAAGCCAGATGTTTACATTTACAAAGTCAATGTGCTGCATCTTCTTAAAATCCAAGAGCTGCTAAATCTGGCCTGTCAGCATTGAACAATTAATCAGTTAAACAGCATAACCTTTAGCAGAAAAATAAAGCATTGCATATTCTGAGTTACAAACAGGCATGCATTGCCCAGGCCAATTATAGGCACAGGAGACAGAAAACCAGGCATCAGCAGGACTTTCAAATCACCGCAGTAAATTAGCCTTCCTCAGAAGACACACTGGATTTCTCCTGTTTAGACTCTACGGCCATGCAGTTGCTGCTTATCAGATGCTGCTATATGTCCCTGGTAGGAAGCTGCAGATGTTCAGTAGTTAACTAGCCTTCCATGAGGCAACACAGGGGTCAGGTGTAGAACTCTATTTCTTAGGACTCTATCTAACATACCAGTCTAGGCTCTATTCAAAATACTTTAAAAAAAAAAAAAATCATAACACACCTGAAAACATACTAGAAACGTACTGTGGAGCCATTTCAGAAGTATTTAATATGATTTTGGGTGCCCTTGCAAGAATAGACTAAGCAACAAAAAGCTTGCAAACACCACAAGACCCATCCCAGTAGAAAAGAAACGGAGATGACAGCAACAACAGTAGCACAAGAAGCAGCTTGAGACTCATTTATAGATTTAAATGTCAAAACTGTAACTGGAAACTGTATCCATATGTGCACGTGATCCTGGAGCAGAGAGAAGTACAAGCAGCAGAAAGGAAGAATCTCTCCTCAAGTAACCTCCAACAACACTAGTTGCGTAAATGCTATTTACACTGGGAGGCCCAGGCAGACTGCGATAACCCTCACAAAAGCAAGAGGAAAGACAGCCACAGTCTTGGCCTAAAACCCCTTTTCATTAGCCACCGAGAAAGCACTGCACTCCAAGCTGCGTGCAGGTTGTGGGTCCTTCTAGCAGACTTCAACAATAGATACCTGGGCTAAGTTTGCTCCCTGAAGGTCTTATGCACTGGAATACAAACAGCTACATTCTTCTGGCAAACCCTCAGGCCAAGCCTTGCTATAACATTCAGTACAAGATGCATCTGTTCAGGGCAGAAGAAAAGTCCAGATGACATTATCAGGCATCCGCTGTAAACCAAAGAACTCCTCCCAAATGTGATGCCTATAATTAAATGCCCCATTTAGACAGAATGCAGAGCAACAAAATGAGCTGCGTGCTCAGTTTTAGCTGGCTGAGAGTACTTCTGCAATCACCTTGTTCTTGCTCATCAAGTCTTTAAATCGCTTAATATCCAGTGGACATCAAGAAAAAGTTTCCATCAAGCGGGAGAGCAGAAAGTGTATTATTAGGCTGCATACAATCACAATTAATATAAACACCTCACAAGCACCTCTTCTACCACTCATTGCCCTTGAAAGTCTGGGATTGTTTCAGACCATGAAAAAACACGGAAAAAGTTTAACTTACACATATGTGTGCCCTACCACTTCTAACAGTGAGACACAGAACTGGAAAAATTTATTTCATGAAGCATACCAAAATATAATGCTATCTGCATTCACATTCATGCTACCTTAAACCCATAGCAACTAAAATCATTATTGACTTCTGAAATCTTAGCACAATTATTGTGCTACAACTGCTTCCATCATTATTTAAATACTTCATCCACCATTGAGATCGAGCACGTGACCATTCATGGGGAGCTTTAAAGATACCAATCCAGAATAGTTTTACATGACCAGTTTGAAGTAATGGACATTACAATAAGAAAAAGCAGGAAGGAAAGAATTGCAGTGACACACCTGAAACAAATAGTGCCATGTACGGTGTTCTCTGATACCTTCAGTCTAACGAGACAGACCGACATATTCTGTGAAGCAGATACAAGGTGCAGCGGTCTATTACGCAGCAGGTAACAGTAAAAGGTGTAGTTTATTCTGGAATAAGAATCGTTCAAGTCCAATTAGAAAAGTGATAGTGCTGGGGATAATGATAGAAAGAAGCTGCTTTCAGTAAATGCTTTGTTTGATTAAGTTTGCAAAAGCATCTAATCACACAGCAGCAGTTTTAAGATACAAAATTAAGTGATTCTTGTCTTCTCCAGAATAGTTTTGATGAAACTTCTTTCATTTAGATGAGTTGAGCTCTAAATTAGTGTTAGATTAACACTAGACATGCAAATCACACCGAAGACTTCACTAA